GATCGTCAGCTGTTGATTGCAGTCGGTGATTTCTGGTTTGACATTTACCAATCCCCCTCAGGAATACCTCAAGAATGTCACCTAGGACCGTTGATCACATTACTTTACTTCAATGACGTGAATCTGGTCATCGAAGGGACATGACTTCCTTATGCAGATGATCTTGAAATCTACTTCCGGATCCATTCGATTTTTTTTTAAATTAATTTATTTGAAAAGGCTCAACCGAATTAACTTTACAGAGCCGAGGATTCTTGTTAACTATACAATACATTTTAAAGGTATAGTCAAAAGGTACAACACAATAAACAATTTATCTTCCGCTATCCAATAAGCCTCCTCCACCAGAACGGGAGCCGCTTCCAGTTGTTTCATTGTATGGCAGATTCGCCAACGGGGGTCAGAGCGTTTCCATTGCAGCAATGGACGCAAAACGTGGACAGCACTCACACACTCATCACTAAACTGTTCCTTTCTAAAGTCGACGACACATCGACTGAAAGAACTGCTGATGAAGAACAATGAGGAAGACCACACAATGGTAGCTGCCGAGTAAACAGACAATCGCGTAACACACATTGAAAGTGGTTTGCTTCTATCGACAGCCGAGTGAACACTCAAATCCGTTCGATTGATGACTGTCACTTTCTTCAAAGTTAGTTTGTAGCCTTTGCCAACTGGTGCAATTTGAACCGAGTGACGGTTAACCCGGCAAAATGTTCAGTAATCACATTTTCTCGGAAGAAAGAACCGATTTCGTTTAATTACGAACTTCAAGGTAGAATAATCGAACATGTGATGCATGTTAAAGATCTGGGAGCAATTTTGGATTCTCAACTAGCGTACAGGGTGCGTGACGAATTTTTGCAGTAAATGGCATATTTGAGAAAAAATACACTAGTTAGTTATTCTAGCAATGAATTTTGTGCGATTTATTTTCTTTCGCAACATATGGAAGTTGTAAGTAAATTTATTCAAAAAAATTGCCTTCCCTTTCGACGACTGTAGTTAGACGCTTCCGGAAACTGCAGTATGCACGTTATAAAAAGTTTCGATCCATAGATGTCATCACTGCCTTGATTTTAGCTTTTAGCGACTTAAGTGTGGTGTGAGGGGTTCTATTGGTATCCCGTTGGACGACGCCCTATACAAAATAATCCAACGGATTGATATCGGGACTGCTTGGTTACCAAATTTCTTCCTCCCAAATTTACGAAATATTTTCCGTGAGCCATTTCTGTGCTTTATTAGCAGTATGAGCAGGTGCTCCGTCTTATCACTTTCCCAAGCCTTTTTTAATATTATACACTGTTCTTTCAGACACATTTACCGACCGAATTATTTCTTTCATGCATACTCCGGCGCGCAACAAAGCGACAACGGCTGACAGATTGCTCTCTTGTTTCGACATCTTTACGTTTACTCAACATTGTTTGTTTAAATCTTACACCTAACAGTATAAGCTATCCAGTTCTGCCAAATATATCTAAATCATGATGCACAAGCATGAGAAATTACTATTTGAAATTTACTGCAAAAATTCGTCACGCACCCTGTACAAGCAGCATATCGCATATGTTGTCGACAAGGCGTCAAGAACATTGGACTTTATCTTCAGGATAGCTCAGAATTTTTCCAACATCTACTGTCTCAAATCATATTATTCCCTAGTACGTTCCATTCTGGAACGCTGGAACCAGCGGTTCAGCGATATTTGACTTCAACCTGCCACGACGGCTGCTACGATGGCGTTTGCTTCGTTTTTCTCTGGGACTCCAAACCGTGAATGACTATGTATTTTATTATGTTGACCTTACTTTTATATTACTCTTATAAACCATCATTGGGGCCACATTGAGCCAGTTGATGTTAACAAATAATAATAATCTTAATAATAATAACGAGTCTTGATGACATGAGATATTAAAATCACTTCTTATTATGATAATTCACAAAGTTTTCGAAGTCTTGAAATCTTGAAAAAAATTCTCAAATCTGGATCTGATCTTGATTTTATTTCTGTTTCTAGGATATTGATAATTTGGTTCGGTACTCATCTCTAGTCTCAGTACTTTCTCTAGTATTCAATTAATATTTCTAGAACTTGACTACAAACTCTTTGGATTCCTTTTAGAATTCTTGCGTCCAGATTCTAAGTGGACCATGCTTTAATATATTCTGCTTCATACCGTTGAAGAGTTAAACGTCTTCCTCCATAAAATGCAAGCACATCCTCTGTAGCAATTCTCATCCTAGTTGACAAGTATGATTGGGTGTCCTTAATAAAATGAAGTGGAGCACGAGAAAAATTCTGTATCAAAGGAATTCCAGAAGCGATTGGAATGGCATCCCAAAATAGATCCAGCTATATTGCGAGGAAGCAACTCAGTTGAAATTATAAATATATATATATTGAACTTCTTCTAAATGCTACCTGTGAATCTTATTAAATTGTAGGCTTAATTCAGTCTTCATATTACTTTCTGTAGAAATTGCAACTGTGCTGCAATCCAAGTAGCATTTAAAAAAATTAATTATCTTAGAAAAACCCTTAAAACCTTCATCATTTTTTTCCTCTGTTCGGGACCTACGCCACTGTGACCAGTAATTTTATCTATTGTAGTATATCCCGTGTGCTCAGTTTAGTACATGTCGTATTACTCCATCACTATTGAGAAATGATGAAGTATTCGGTTTTTGACAGTTGTCATTCTCATATTTATCGCAAAGATCCGACTCTAATTGAAAGGTCCCGCTATTTATACCCTTCGGAGTGTTGAAACACCCTCCAAAGGCGCACCGCTTTGTCAGTCAAAATTGGATTCCTTAGCAACAAAATTAAGTAATGACACCGATAATGACCATGCATCAGAACCCTAGTCTTAACCACTTCAAACTAGGGAACAACGAAGAGAAGATTAGCAATCACATAGATGAAGACTAACTAACTCATTTTTTCCTTGTTTCAAGATCCTCGGTGGACAAAGCCGAGTCTTGTCACTATCAACAAGGCATAAAAAGTAACAAGGACTAACCCGAGTAGCACACTTTCATCACAATAAGTTATAGCAACTAATTTATGCCTGAAATAAGTCGTATGTAAGTTTCTACATTTGTGACAAGCGTGCTACTAGGGAAGATGTGTTCCTTGGATTACTGAAAAATCCTGTTCCCCTAGTTTGGAGTAGTCAGGACTAGGAATCGGTGGTAGATCTATCCACGGAGGTGATTTACCCACGTTACGGGGCAATCATCATCATAGAAAATCTCCAAAATCCTAATGTGATGCTAAAAATTCGTCTGAGGTAGCAAATACATCAGACAGGACTCATACTGAAATGGTCCAAAGTGATCGCAAAACGCCCTTCATTGGAAATCACAGCGAACCGCAAGCAGGAGATAGGACACATCGTCGTGCTGCTGCTGTTGCTGTTGGTCCATCACTGGGGCTTCAATGACGACGAAAACGATGACGATGACGATGGTGATGAAGCGCGCGAGGACTGGGCCCCGGCCGCGCGCTCTTGAATGCTGTTGAACAGGAAATCTGCCTCGGGACATGAAGGCGATTCAGACACCGAAGCAAGAAGCGGGGCAGATATGTACGAGTGCTTAGGGGATGGTGGTGCGGGAATGCCAGGCAGAGCCAGGCATTCCGGGTGTGGAGCACAACACAAGAGGGGCGAAACTCCTTCCTCCAGCGAGCAGCGAAAGATCAGGCAAAGGAAGATTATACGATCGAATGCATGAAACGAGTGCGGGGGAACAGACAGGGTGAAAGAATCGGCGGAGAAAAACGAAGCATGAATAAAAACGAGGAATTTCATTTCACGAGAGCAGCGCAGGATCCCGAAAGACATAAGACGCGTGTTTAGTAATTCAGGTAGCTGTTGGGCCTGTTGTTGTTGTTTTTCCGTCGTCTTGGTCTTGGACGTCGTCGTCGTCGTCGTTTCGTTCGCTTATAATTTGTGTACCCATTTCTTCTTCCCCGCGGAGAGGGTCTCTCCGGTGGTTAAGCCCGCGAACGAGCTTGCTCGAGGACGACGTGAGCACTGGAGGAGGAGTGGGATGGTTTGTGGTGTTTGGTTGGATCGAAGCGTAGAAAAAAAGCGATCTTTGGCTGGCTGACTGCTTGACTGGCGATGGCTTATCTGCCACATGTACATATTTATGACAAGATGGAGATTTTGTGCATCTCACCCCAAAACAGATTGTGCGGAGTTGTGCGGGTGAAAGAGTTCGTCGTGCGCGTTTCATCAGCTCGGCTAAATGGCAGGGGGGAAATAAATTGCCCAGCAGAAAGGGACTTAGTGGAGGGGAGGTAGGGGGTTGGAAGTGAAACGTCGACAAAAAATGTGCACATAAACTGCGGCTGCCGCTATAAATCACCGGATCAGCATTTTAAATTGCACTCACGGGGTATTGTGCAGGGATGCTGTTGCAAAGCAGCCGGGTGCGTGGGGGGAGGTTTTTGATCTCGAAGGAATGTCGGTTCGGGAAGGAGGATTCAATTTCCAAAAATGATGAAATTAATTGATAGATTTCGTTGATTGATGGGGGTTCTCAATTGAGCACCAGTCAAAGGTAAATTTTCAAAACGGCACAAACTAATGATTGATTGAATTTAATTTGATTGGAAAATGCTTTTCAGACACGGAAATCTGAACCGATTTAATCGTTTGCCCTCGATTGACTCAAAAGACTTCAACGACGCTAAGCGACGAACCCGTCCGACTTACATAAGCTACCGATTTTGTGCTCGTTGTTGTTGTCCTACCCAACGAAATCACTTTCCAAATGCCCTGAAAATTAGCCCCGGTCATTTGACCCCTTTGTGTGCGAGAGTGTTTTTATTTACAGCGACAAAATTGCGTAGATCTTTCGACAAACTCTCAGTAGCAGCAGCAACCTCAGTTAATAGACCTCTGATGGGTGAAAAATTGGCGACGTGGCACCTACCAGTTACGTTGAAAAAAAAAATGAAGGAAAAACTATCTTACCTATCAGCACGGCTAGGCCGAACAGTTCGGTGTCCAGCATGCCCTGTTTGGAGAAGTGATGGCATGTTTGTGCGTATACTTCGCGGACGCGACTTTTTGCTTCGACTAGGAAGTAGAGTGTGCGTGGCTGTGGTGTTCCTAATAATCTGTGGAATGCGCAGCGATAGTTGTTGGTTCGTGGTCGTCGTCGTCGTCGATGGCATGTTGAGATATAGTGGTGATTGTGGCAGCAACAGCAGCATCAACAGGAGGGCAGAAAATAAACCAGAGAAAAAAAAAAACAACGAATTAGTTCAGTTTTCGGGGGTTGTGATTTATGAGTGTGGTACAACCAAAGGAGGTCAGAGAGATTAATCATTCGGGTGGTGTGTGCGCGAGTGTTTGGCTCATTTAATTGGAAGGAAGGAGTGGAATGTTGAATATGTTTCGATGATAAATGCGGGATGCTGGCTATTTATCAAAGCGAACAGAATGTTTGGGAAATTTGATATGACGCTCTAGTGTTGCGTCGGAGGAGACGATTCGTGATTCGATTGTATCGTGCTAGGAAGGGATAGGATTAGACAGCAGAAAATTTCGTCAATGTATGGGTTATCTAAGTTAAGATAAGCTTTTTTTTGATTCGTAATGTAGGATGCACGAGCATTACATTCTTAAATAAGAAATATTTATTCCCTCAAGCTACACCTACGATGACAGCACTATAACGGTGGTTTGGAGGCCTTGTGCCAATCACCAACTGCCCACGAAAATTATAACAATTTCAGAGACTAACGAGCCTACATAGACATTGGAATCAATCCTTAAGCCTACAGCGTGGTGTGAGCTTACAACAATCGATTTACGAGTATGGTCTATGTGGATTACACCAGTTTAATGAAATTGCTGCTTAGTTGCGAGTTATGATGTCCTTGAGAGACCTAGGTACCAAGGTATCGTTTTTTAAATATTTTCTTGCTGAAAGTATTTTTAAATGTTTATGGAAAATTTATCAGAATATTAAATTATGTATAGATTATCTAAATTTCACAAAGATCCACGTTCTAGTTCAAGCGGTTTTTATTAACTTCAACATTATTTGTTTATACTGGAAATTAATTTTTTTTTTTCAACCAAATTGATTGACAACATTGAATAACAACAACAGAGAACAACGAATTAGTAATTTCCATTTAAACCCACTACCTTATTGTTAATTGCATGTTATCAACAGACTAGTTGGGTGTCCCAATGGTAAAAAGTTATCCTAAAGCTAACAAAAAATGTCTTCTAAGAGAGTCACGTGGCATGTCAAAATTCAAAAATTAGGAGACTCGCTTAAACGTCCGTTGGAGGGCGATTAGCCAGGAAATCGCCGCATAGTTAGTTCTCCTGAGTGGGATCCTGAGAAGAGATTTGCCTCGAAGCACACGGGAGTGAGCTTGAACATTAATGTTGCCGAGCAGGGCAGGACAATCCATACGGTCGGTTAGAATTTCAGCGATGACAAGTGCCTTAGCCACCTCACGTCGTGTTTGGAGGGTGTCCAGCTGGAACATGAGGCAACGGCTCTCGTAACTCGGCAGATTAAAGGGATCCCTCCAAGGAGAGCGTATCTGATAATACGCCGCTGTACCGACTCGATTCGTTCAACACCATTTTGGAAATGAGGGTTCCAAACTGGAGATCATATTCTAATGTCGTTCGTACCAGCTGATATCCATTATTGTGAACATTTATATTATTAATTATTATTAAGCTGATAGCCCCCATTTTTATGCCAACATGCTGAAATTGATGAAGTATTATAAGACTCTGGGCCTTAAAAAATGTTCGAGACACGGATTAGATTAAATATTCAAGATCTATGATTTTGATTTCTTTTAAGATTATTTTAAAGAACCAAGGAGCAGTTCCACAAAAAAAAATAATTGTTTTGACTCGATCTTCTTTGATTTGCATGAAACTTTGCGTAATTGTATGTTGCAGGTAATCATCCAGATTTATGCAGGATACTAACAAAAGATTAAAAAAAATTACCAAAAGTTGTTGTCCTCGATGTTGATGATGGATTTTTAGTTTTTTGATTTTGTAGTAGTAATAGTAAAAATAGCTTTGAGTAGTCTACAATGGTTTGAGCCTCACGCGCGGAATACAGGTATAAATAACTAATACGAGGAAATTGTGGCAAAAGCCTTGAATTAGTAAAGGATTGGCTGGAAGTCGTTTCCTTGGATATAGTCCTGGCACTGCGGAAGCTTAAACGTTTAAAGCCCAGGTCACGTGTAAATGGAAGTATTGTCGAGGACTATACTTGGAATTTCGACGCATGATAACTAGTTACACCTTTCAATGTTTTTGGTTGATGCCTATAGCATATTTAACAGGACGTTTATATTTGTAATTGTAACCAGCTCGATTTTGTTTGCAAACCTGGTTAAAATGTTTATATTTAATTATCTTAAAGATAACTCGTCCAGCTCAAACCTTTGTAGGGGTAAGAGGTGGGACCATCATCATCATCATCATCATCACCTACGTTTTTTGTCGATCTTCTAGTGTCTATTTTTCAAAAGTTTGCATTTTTCATGAGCTTTTTATAAAAATATATAAAAATTGCTCAGGGACATTTTGATATACAGCCATTCCATAGCAAAACGATAAAGTAGTTCTCAGAATTTCGTAAAAAAAAAAGTAGTTTTGTTCCTTATCGCTGAGAACCACTATATCGTTTTGCTATGCAATGACTGTTTACATAAGTTTTAATTATTCCTCGGAATTTTTACTCAAAATTACAAATCAAAATTTACTTCACATGTTTTTCCTACAACTTTGTGTCAGACGTAATTCCAATCTGAAGTGCCACTATTTATTGAAAAATTGTCAAACACGCCATTGTGGGATCAAAATAATAAGATTCAAAATTACTAAATTTTAGCACAAATGTGAATGATTCCCCATAACAAACAACTATGCAAAGTTTCATTTTTTAGCTATTTGGCCTCGAACTGGAGCCATGGACATTTTCCATGCTTCTGGAACTTGAGGAAATAGAATTGTTATCTCATAATAAATTTTCGAGATTACAAAAACTGATAATTTTGCAAGACTTCAAACCAAGATAAATCAATGTGATTATGGGACATAAGGAATATAATTGTGAGAAATAAATGAGAACACTGATTCTAAACACTTTTCCTTATCCTGGAACACACCTAATTTTGGTAACATAAATGGTAAAATAGGTAGGACCATCTTCATCGAAATGTAAATATTATTGACGATAATCATAATTTAGATGAAACGTAAATTTATATGATAGGTAACTGGATCAACGATATTTAACATGCGCATTCAATTACGACGACTACTAATCCTGCATGTCAACATCTTTGAGTCTCCTATCTCTTATCCTTAACCTATGCATCTACGTTTCTATGCTAAGAATAAACTTAGCCCTTATTTATTTTCGGCAGATTTCAACCGACTCGCAATTATTTGTAGCCGGCATGCTTCTGATTATCTGATTATTATATTACAAGAATAAAACAAAAAAAAATGGGATGAGGAGGGACCATTAGGGCACCCAACTGAAGCGAATTGCATGGGGAGAGTGAATATGTCAACTACCTGTTGCTAACATTTTGTGGATAAAGGGTGGGCTCTTCTCCCAATTGGGACATCTTCCTGTTGGATGGCTCATTTTCTGACCAATTGTCTGATCAAGTTGTTGGAAGGAGATTCTTAACTGTTCCAAGGAATTGAAAAGGCGAATTGCTTATCAATCCATCCATTCGTTATTAGCCCTTCAAACAGCGATTTGCTGATGACAATCAGAGGTTATTGACCTTGATCAAGTTCAACTGTGAGGAGAGCCCACAGCTATCGGACTAGTTTCTGTGCTACAATGAGCGGTAGACCACTATCATCTAGAATGACAGTACTCCCAGTCCTACAATTACGTAAAATTAATTCACTCGATTTCAAGATTGACAAAAAAATCTCAATTAACAGTTTGAAAAGTTTGTATTATGTTTGGGTCACGTGCATTTCTAAACCTTTTTTTTTTTACTTTGGACGATCTGTTATGCAACATTTTCCAATATCCCCCCTCCCCATATGTAACATTAAGTTACACAAACTCGACTCCCCTCTCCTCCTTCATGCGTTACGTAATTTGTACACGAAGCCTTTGCAACTTGTCCAAGATGATTGTTGGCCAAAAGGTCCAAGGATACAAGAGAGGATGGACAAATGGTCGACGAAAAAAAGAGTCGACGAAAAAAAGGGTTGACGAAAAAAAGGGTCGACAGGTTAAAAGGTCGAATGTTCGAATTGTCGAATGAAATTTGAATGGAAGAAGAGTTGAATGAACAAAACTCCGAATAAAGTTTAAAGGTCACATGGATAAAAGGTCGAAGTGAAAGAAAGGTCGAAATGGACGAAAGATTGAAAAGGGAAAAAAGGTTGAAATAGACAAATCGTCCAATGGATAAAAGGTCAAATTAAATTTAAAGGCACACAAGCATAAATTGGACAAAAAATCGAATGGACCATTCGTCGAATGGAATTTAAATGGAAGAAGATTTGAATGAACAAAACTTCGAATTAAATTTAAGAACACAAGGACAACAGGTCAAATGGTCAAAAGGTCGAAATGGACAAAAGGTTGAAATTAACGAAAGGTCTGAATGGTCAAATGTCGATGTGGACATAACGTTGAACGGACAAAAGGTCGAATGAAATTTAAAGGCACACAAGTTTGAATGAAATTAAATGGGAGATAAGTTGAATGAACAATACTTCGAATTCGAATGGACCAATCGTCGAATGGAATTTAAATGGGAAATGAGTTGAATAAACAAAACTTTGAATTCAATGTAAAGGTCACATGGACAAAAATTGGATGGTTCAAAAGGTCTAAATAGACAAAAGGTCGAAATGGAAAAAAAGGTCAAAATAGACTCAATTATCAAAAGGATGAAATGGACAAAATGCCGAATGGACAAAAGGTCAAATTAAATTTAAAGGCACACAAGTTTGAATTGGACAAAAGGTCGAATGGACGAACCGTCGAATAAAATTTAAATGGAAGAAGAGTTGAATGACAAAACCTGGAATTAAATTTAAATGTCACATGGACATGGAGGTCAGATAGGTCAAAAGTTGAGTCACTTTTAGTGCACCAACAAATCAAACGAATAAAAGGTCCGAAGTGCAATATGCTGAAAAAAGCAATTAAATTAATCTTAGGCTATAAGTAATCGAACTGAAATGCTCGAAAGTTATTTCTCACTCTTGGAGTTGAGTACTTCTTTATATCATGAGCAGTTTTTTTCAGGATATTAAACACCATTTTTTTTCACTCACTACGCTATAAAAATTTTTTTTTTCAATCACCCATTACATGGCAAAACAAAAGTGATGCTCAGAATTTCGTCAAAAATGGTAGTTTTGTTCCTTATCGCAAAACATTAGACTCGTATATTTTTTATTTTGTCATCAGGGTGACCATTTCCATGTTAGGGTGGTCCAAAAAATGTTTATTTGTTAAAAAATGACTTTTTTTTTCCAAAAATAATTACTTTTGAATCACTGGGCCGATTTCAATGACCAGATGAAAGGTAATTAAAAATACTTTTCAGGAAAAATATAATGATAATAAAAAATCGGGAATTTGTTTTGAAAAACATTGATTGTATTTTGTAGACAGAGGGCGCAATATGTTTTTGTATTTTTCCTTGAAAATTTTGGTTATTTTATACAACATATAATATCAGTAATTTTTTCGTTTCAATTATGTTAAATTTCATTCGCACTTTTGTCAATTTCAACGTTTTGTCTTTTCGACCCTGTGTCCATTCAAAAATATGACCTTTCAAACATTTCTCGTGTCACTTTTCAAATAGACCAATGTAACATATTCGCCATTTAAGAAAATCTATGTTGAAGTTCGACAGCTTATTATTTTAACTGTCTAGAAACAACAAATTTTGCAATAACGTTGAAAATTCACTACAAACGGAAAAATCGCAATTCTACTTTGAGTTTCATGCTACAATTTAGAGAAAAAAAAAATCATGTAGAACGTTTTGAATTGCCAAGTTGAACATCGGATATGTTACATTGGACGATTTTCCTTAATTACATAATCATGATACTGTTTTGTTCTAAATGATACTAGATTCCCTTTCACAGATTTTAGAATAGAGTACCTAACCTAACTATGCTCCGTTTTTGTAAAATGAACACCAATCATGTTAGGCAGTCCAAATGTCTGAAGTAACAACCACGTACTCATCATTTCAAGCTGTACATTGGACAATTTTTAACCTATGATTATCTTAAATAAATGAAAATAAATTTGGATGGGTATTTATGTATCACATAAAATGATAGAAGAGCAATAGTTTCTATCGATTAACTCGATTTGTTTACATTCGTTACTTAGGACCTTTTGAAAAGTTACGCAAGTTTCGTTCTTTGGACTTATTGTCCCGACCTATTGTCCTTCGACATTTTGGTATAGATTGGTCCGAGATCTTACTCTTAATAAAACATTATAGATGGTGGAACTTTTGGGAATTTGGACCTTAAGATTTATGCTGGATGACTAACTTTGAATTTTTTCTTGATCCCTGTGAAAACATGTTTTTTGGGCTTAAAATGATTAAAAACCCAACATTTTCAGCTTGGATTTTTTTTTATATTCCCGCTATTAAATATAAAGATATAATTCACGGATGCATCCAAATGCTTATTAGATCAACCACAGCCGTGACCCACCAGTATTGGGTCACGGACCATGTATTGCGAAACGCTGCTGTAGATTATTTTTTTTATAAATTGCATAAAATAGAGTTGTCCACTTTTTCAAAAATTGAAAATAGCCGTTGATATTGATTAGCTCTGCCACTGACGGCTCGGAGAAGAACTGTAAATCTCTCATCTAAAAAAATCCAATCTAATCCTATCAAACCACTGACTGACTTCAGATTTTTCACATCGAAAAAAGACTAAAATTCATAACTGCACCATTTGGAAATTGATTTTGCTCCTTGGCGACTGAAAATAATCGGACACTCTTCAATTCAGGACAATTTTCAATTATGTGTATGCTAGAGCATCAAAGATCCTACCAAGTTGTAATCTGCCCATGGGGGTCAGTATAATCTTCCGATGTTCGGTTCCAGAGACCAACTCAACTCTTTGACTGAACATGAGCAAACAACAAATCAATCTAAGCTCATTTGTAATGACGAGCACGATGGAGTTCCAAAGATTCCTCAAATTTGAATAGTATTCTAGGCACGGTGGTCAGTATCCGGAACTTTCGACCACTTTTTCCTTCGGCTCATCAATTCAGGCTTTTTATGAAGAAAAAAAAAAGTAGTATCAGACATCTTTCCACGGTGTAGTAAGGCATGGAGAAATCATTGATAAATTAATGTGCTCCATCCTTTCGGGTTCTTCACAAAGAATTCTTAACATACATACAAAAACACATAGTTAATTATTTTGGGCACTTACTTCTTGTCCTATTTAGTCTGTTGCAATATATAGCTCTTGTATATTCATTTAAAGTGTTTGTATTAATCCAATTAAATTTATGACCATTATGTTGTATTGAATCACACCCTGCCCGCGTTCCTGAGGTTATCAGTCCGCTAATTTAATGAATTCCTGCGAAACCTAATTATGTAAAGAAATACAACGGCAATCATACTTACTTTAAAGCTAGAAATCTGGTACCCGGAGGCAGGGGGCGGGACGGTGGTGCGCAAACCTCGAGGGGTGCGCTGACAGTGCAAAAAGCTCGCATGCTGCATCGTTACCAGCTGCAACTAACTTTTACGAAAGATTTCCTGCAATTAGAGAGAGACAGAGCGAGAACGGGGGCAAAAATTAGTTTGGGGATCGAACTTGGATTCGTTTCGGGCTGTGGTGCTGGTAATTTTTGGTTAGAATCGAGCGAAACAGAATATAACATTGTTATTCCTGGATGTGTGGCGTACACTCTATCTCTGCCTTGCACGCCATCGGAGAGGAAGGACGAAAAATTCGGTAGTAATTCGAAGCTGATGATTTTCTTCGTAATTCAGGGGAGCTTGAAATTGGAAAACCACTGACTGTATAATTATCCTTTCGCTCGGTTGTTGTTGTTGTTGTTGCTGCTGCAGTTGTTGCCGTTTTCTGCTGTAAGCCTTAGCCTTCAAGAAACCGCAACAAGGGAATCACGGCAGCAGCCAACCGTCGCCGTCCGTTGATGGGATACTGCAGGGAAAAATCTCATTTCATCTGGTATATTTTCGGGAGGACGCGTCTGAAGATTCGGGAATCGTTCGCTCACGTTCAGATCATTTATTACGCTTTTTTCCTTCAGCATTTCGTTTCGAAGGAGATGGTGGGGCTTTAGCAGTCGTCGCCGCCGAGAGCAAACTTGACGCAGCAGCCTGAGACTCTGGTTGGTGTAGTTTTTTCTGATCTTCATTTTTGTCATGAAGGAGCACTGGCAGAGCCACGCCAAGCGAAGTAAGCGTGCATGAGGAGCGTGAAGATGGAGAAGGTAAAAACGGGCTATACACAACAACAACAACAACAACGACTACAGCATGAAGAGAACAGATGGTGAGTTGTGAAAAGAGGTTTTTACATCCCTTCGGGTTATAAACCAAAGGAATGTGGATCCGTTTTTTTGTCTTCTTCGCTTCGCCTTCGCAGTCTTACTGGCTCAGCTGCCTGGTTGTTGTTGTTGCTGTTGCTGTTGTTGGTGGTGTTTGGCTTAATTCCATCTTCTCCATTCCCTGAAACCGCGCGTTGTGTAGTCGAAAGCTGAAGTTCGCGTGAAGCGCTGAGCATGCTTGCGAGCATGGACGAGTGAGCTGTTGTGGTTTTTCAAGAGCGAAGACCAGAAGAATTGTTAGGTACCTACTGATGCTGCTGCTGCTGCTGCTCGAGAACGGGGTGAAGGATGGATTCGAGCAGGTTTCCGTGTTCAGTGATCTTGAAAGGTGATTTGGATGGATGGAATGTGACGGACTTTGTTTTTCGGGGTGGTTGAATGAGACTAGTATCAAGATGGAAGCTGCATGACAAGTGTTTGCTGGCTATTCGAAACGTTTTCTTTTCAATTTAATGTGGGCTGATACTGTTTGGTATTAAATATCAATGATCAACTAAATTCTCTATGCCAATCTTATAGAGTTAGATAAGTGAATTTAGTTTAAGATCAACAAAAATCTTCTTCACAGCAAGCTGTGTATAGATTTGTTTGTTGATGCAGTACTTAAGAATTTCGACAATGCATTTGAATACAATAATGAGATATAATGCCATACTCCTACAGAAACTCATCGGTATTACCACTCAAATATCCATGGGGCTTTTATTATAACACATTACTTAGAATATGTTGCTATCATTTCTTGCAAACGTGTAATTTAATACACAATTAGGAATTACAATATTTTTTTAAAACTTTATTAAGGAGACTTTCAGCCCTGGGCTGGTTCGTCTAAGGAGAACAATAACATAATTATTGAATATAACTAATCAGAGGCGGCAGAGATTTAAAATCCTGCTAGGGGCTGTCCATAAGCTACGTGGATCGATTTTTTAAGATTTTAGACCCCTATCTGTCTTATCACTTTAAATTTGTTTTGAAAATTACAAAACCCTGGTCTACAATTCCCTAGTCTCTTAAACTATTCACGTGTCTCAAAGGTAGCACCCTACCCAAGTAGCCAACAAGTAGCCTAATTAATATTTTTGCAATATAAGGCAGATATACGACTAATGTGTATAAAGTTCGGAAGCCCTATTACAATATTTTAATGCAAATAAGCCGATTAGCTAGCAAAATACAGACTTGTTGGTTCCGTGGGCAGTATTTTCGAACTAAAATAAAAAAATAAAGCTGTTGTAGCATTAAATTCTGTGGAACCTTCTTCTTCTTCCACCTGACTTTGGCGCTCTTCACGGTGTGTCTAGGCATTATTATTAAAAAAAAATATATCGCTGTATCTCTCACCCCAGCAGGCTTGGGTTCAATCCCAGTCGGCGCCGCCGGGATGTTCTGAGGCAAAACAGCTCTGATCACGCCTTCCTTCGGAAGGGAAGTAAAGCCGTTGGTCCCCGGTTCATGAGTTGATGGGTCGATAGGTGGTAGGGTCCAGGTGTGGGAGCTGCCTCCCTGGCGTCGGTAGCATTGGTGCTCAGCACGGAAATCAAATCAAGGAAAAACAAAAAATAAATATCGCTGAAACACCAACCAATGAAACCTTAGGTGTTCCACTTTAATTTGAAGCTTGTATAAATATGTTCTATCGGAGGTCATTTTCCCATACATTTTTTGGGATTAAAAAAGAATTTTTGGATGTGATTTAACTGAACACTGAAAATACGAAAAAAATTAAAAATGTTTTAGCCGATGATAGAACATTTTCAGACAAGTTTTATATTAATGGGGAGAAAGTAAACTTTGATTCGATGGGTGCTTCATCGATGGTTTTTTTTTAATGGTGTTCTTTCATAGGTACCACCCAACTAACAATTTTAGCTACAGATTAGCTTGTACAGAAAAAAATTGGCTTATGCATATAATTTTTGCCTGTCTGCAGTTAATTTTTTTTTTGTTGGGCGTGTCTTACACGAGCTTTCCCAGCTTTCCATTTAGTGTTCTTGAAGCACTTATTTCTTCTTCTACTTCTTTTAGACATTTTACGAGCTAAATTGATCAAAAGTAATGCATGATTTTCAGCTAGGCTACACTCAATCTTCAAAACTGAAACTTTTTAAAATTCTGGAATGCTCCACTGTCTTAGCCCTTCCCTTCCTTAATAAAGGTTTTGCTCTTGCATTGTTTATGTTTACTTTGTTTATAAAGGTCTACCAAATATAAAAGAAATGATAACATGTATTATATGAATCAGATTTCAGCTTTGCTCAATAAGTCGATTTGAATGATTGTATATAGGTTTTCAACATCTTACGAACTGATTTGAGCCCTGGCTACTGTCAAACTCTGATTGAAGGTATTGGGATTTCATTGGCCTAAGATATGGCGAAAGTACCATCTGTTGCTTGGGAGTGATCATTCTTCATAACATTTTATCTTCGATTTCATATTGCAGCACGAACAAAATGGTCTTTTTAATACAATGTCCAAATTAGGACATCATATGTATACGTTTTACTACTTTTAAACTAGAATGAAGTATATTCTAACTAGGATCAGTTTAATGTTGTGCTCACAGTATGCACACAGACTGTCCAAACATTTCATGCTTAACGTGTTTTGAAATTTCATAATAGTTATTGTGTCCGGAATCAACTTTGAATTGTCAAATGAATTATCCTTTCGATTGCCACTATTCTCTATTTCTCAATAATCCTTCATCTTCTTTGCATTTCAAGCTTATTGCTTATAGCACTTAGTATTCAAGATGCACTTCCACAGTTTTTAATCAAGAGCTTTCGATGCATGTACCATTTTGCATTAGTATAAATGTGTGGCAAGTACAATCATACTCTATGCCCAAGTAAGTCGAAAAATTTTCCAACCCGAAAAATTCCTAGACCGGGCCGGGAATCGAACCCAGACACCTTCAGCATGGTCTTGCTTTAAAGCTGCGCCTTTACCGACTGAGCTAAGGGAGGCCTTTGTAGAGCATCAAATTGAATACTAGTTTTGTTATCAACATGAAAAATGCACATCTATTCTTTATCCTAGTAGCACACTTGTTACAAATGAGTATAAACGGGTCTATGCGACTTATTTCAGATACACTCAAGTTGCTGCAACCTTTTTCAACGAAAGTGTGCCACTTGGGTAAGGATCATGTCTTAATTGGGTTGAGATCCTCTTGGACATTTTTAAACATTTCAATGAGTTTCTATTCAAAAGTATCCTTGGAATCAGGGTTGTTAATCGATAACCATCGATAACGATACCGTTAACGGCTTCAACTCAAATTCACCATGGCAGACGTTAATGTTGACGTTGTCGATTAACAACTCTGCATGGAATATATCCAAAAATTCTTTAACATTCTCCATATAGGCCTCTTGGAATTTTTCTCGTGATTCACAAGAAACTATCCTCCGAATCGAAATTGTCCTTAGAATATCTTTGAAACTATTATCAGATTAAGATTCCCTTGGATTTCTTAACAGCATTCTTTTGGAACTGTTGTCAAGATGCCCATGTTTTTTTTTGTCATGATTTAATTGTAATTCTCAAGCGGCGCCGGTGGTGTAGTGGTAAGCGTGATTACCTCTCACCCCAGCAGGCCTGGGTTCAATCCCAGTCGGCGCCGCCGGGATGTTCTGAGGCATAACATCTCTGATCACGCCTTCCTTCGGAAGGGAAGTAAAGCCGTTGGTCCCCGGTTCATGAGTTGATGGGTCGATAGGTAGGGTCCAGGTGTGGGAGCTGCCTTCCTGGCGTCGGTAGCATTGGTGCTCAGCACGGAAAACAAGATCGACGGAAAACAAATCAAGGAAAAAAAAAAAAAATTGTAATTTCTTTTCAGAAGTTTTTCTTTTTCGCTAAATTAAAAAAAAATCTTTCGAATTTTCTGTAAAATATCGTTATAATTTGTCTGAAAATTCCTTTATATAACACTGCTGCAAATTAACCTCTTCACGCTGTTGAAAATAATAAATTCTCCCTAGAATTTCGTTGGGATCGAATAAACTCCGATGCAGATTCCTTCAGAATTCTCGTCATTCCTTCTACACTCGACTTAGGACAACTTCAACAGACAGACCAACTATCTGCATGAATTTGAATTTAGACATAATATTGATCAAGGCAACCTCTGAGTATCGAAGTCAACATTCGATTTAGTTCATTCGTGGCTGGATGTTCATTATCGCCTGGGTTGTTGTCAATATTAATAATCGTCTTAATTTTGTTGGAGTGATATTATAATATAACCCAAATTTAGCGTTATGTTTGAAAATAATTGCTGAATTGATGAATTAATTCAAAACGAACGCAATTCATCTACACTGTGTTGCAGCTACTGCTACTCCTTGCGTATGAGGGTAAATGATAAGCAGTGTCTGTCATCCCAATTTTCTTTAAATTTATATCAGTATTCCTTAAAAGTTTTTGTCAGTATTGCTTTGAAACTCTTGTCAGAGCTTAATTGGTTTTGTGGAGTTTTGGATTGTTTTAGGGGATCTGAAGTATCTCTGAGTTCTTGTCAGACAATCTTTGAAATTTACCAGACATTTACTCACAATCCCGTTGGAAGGCTCTTCAGAATAACGATTTGAATCTACTTATAACTACCTTTAAATTATCAAATGAATGTACCTAAAGCTTTCATTACAAAGCTTTTGAATTTCTATTCAGAATTACTTTCAAGTCTCCTTGGAATCCCTCAAGAATAGTTTTAAAATGCTATAGGAGTTCTTTTCGGAGTAAACTTTGATTTTTTTTCTGTAGGTTCATTCAAGTGGACGGCTGATCCTAAGCTTTTTAATTCATGCTCGGATCTTAAGTTTTTGTTTGAAAGCTCATGGTTTATAAAGGATTTTTTTACTATAATCATTTACTTTCCAAAGTTCAACCTTTCAGCTCAATGGCATTCAGAGATTGATACAAAGAACATGGATCCGGTTCTATTTAAATCAGTTCAGACATCTTAGTGAAACGAGAGTGAGTATAACTTTTTATATTATTTTTATTTAGGGGAGAGTATGGCTTCGGTACTACTTTATTCGTATTTACAACCTACAAGATAGACTAGCCAACGAGCTAAAAAATCTCGCTAATAAAGTATTCAAAACACCTTTTATCAACAGGGGTAAATTAAGTCCTAGGACAATGATTTTTTGCATGAAGGTTCATCATGTTCCAGAGCATCGTTCTGCAATAAAATTAACATTCTAGGACTTCATTTAACCCTGACGATAATAGGCAAAGGCTTTGCCGAAAACGACATTTTCCCTATGAGATTTTTTACCGTAGCACTGTTGTATTGTCTATCACTTTAGTGGACATATTTCCACTAGGGTCTCCGTAGCCAAATGTCTGATTGGAATGAAAATGAAGATGATGTTGAGTTGACCAAGTTTCACTCAAATCGGGTAAGGCATCACCGAGAAAAGTGAGTGAGTATTACTGTTTTACTGCAAAATCACACTTTTTTGGTCATATCTCCGAAACCAAATGTCCAATCGCGATTAAAATTAATACGATTCTATGAAAGATAAATACAAACAATTTGGAACCGGTTGAACTCAAACCGGTTCAGCCATCGCCCAACTAGGTTAGGTTACTTTATTAAAGAAACTTTCAGCCATTTGGCTGGTTCGTCTTTGCTCGCCTAACTAACAATTTTAGCTGAAGATTAGCTTATGTAGGAAAACATTGGCTTATATAGCTAGTTTTTGGTTGTATACAGTAGTTTAGCTGCATAATTGTTTGTTGGGTTGGGACCAGTTGTACTTAATTTGACTTCATTTCGATTTGCAATCAATGTAAACTCTCTTCTTTCTTATGGTGGAGGTTTTAGGAATGCCGAGCATTATGTTTTTATATTATCCTAAAAACCACAATTTGGTTCAATTTCTTTAATCTTAGATTTAAAACATTAGTAATGTATAACCACAGACAAACAGACGTAACACTTCATTGTGTATCTTCGTTCACGCATTTAACGGTTGATTTGAATATTATCAGTTCTGCGAACTACTCACCGCAGCGCTGGCATCGGATCACTTTGACGTTTCTATACATTCTATAGAACTTTTATGCAATATTGCTGGCGAGTTAGCGAGCAATCTTGTTTTCCGCGAGAAGCCAGAGAGATGTCGTTACTGAGGTCCTATGTTTTGAGAACTATGTTTTCAAGAAAAACTTGTTCAAAGTGTTACGTCTGTTTGTCTGTGGTATAACGCAAATGATAACTTGGTTCTGTAAGTTTATTCGATTGAGGCTGGAAAAAAATTAACTAACCAAAAAAAAAGGAAAACATAAACTGTGGATTGTATCAAACGATCAGTCTGATCTCAAAATTAAATAGTTATCATAGAACTATTAACCAATTATATGAGATGATTCCTTAAAAGATGCTTTAATTTTTCGTATATATTGACACCTCTACCAACAGTTATTTGTGACATAATTTATCAGAATTATTTTCCTCAATGCTTATAAACGCAATTCCTTCTAGTCAGCCGAAACTAACATTGGAAGAATTCAGCCCGAATTCGGAAAAATGAATCAATAACTGTCAGCCAGTTATAATTGAAGCTTATATTATATTCAGGACAATATCTAAACTAAACGAAGGCTCCCATGTGCTCTAAACGCTTTCAAACACCGATATTCCTCGGTATAACGTAACTGTCACTTTTGACTTCCATCGTCAATCTCTCTCTAATAACAATTGAATCATACAAATTAATATTACCTATAGATGTGGGATTATCTCATCTATTCGATAGTGATATTATTTTGCTCATTCAATGATCGTCAACGATGGAAGTCAATAGTGACAATTACGTTATATCGAGGTATACCTATATTTAAAAAATAAATAACGATTCACATCTTTTTTTTTTGGTTTTCAATGTTTCCCTAAAACGCTGTCCAGACTGTAGAGTTATAACATGTTATAACGGTTGTCAAAAAATTGCAACACAGAAATCACCATCCAAGATAGCGCTATAACATGTTATAACTCTGTAGTCTGAACGTACTATAAGATTACTAAGCAAAAGCACCTAAGCAGGCATGGCAAATCATTTACATTAATTTCGTGCATTCATTTACATTAATGTACCTCTAACTTTTTTCATCAACAAAATTCCGTAAAATAATTCATGAATCTTTTGTAGGTTTCAATATTAGCTACAACTTTTGTCAACAACTCAAAACTGTATCTCTTTTGCATGATGAACCAGAACGAATAGAACCCATCATTGTTTTTCAGTGAATGTAAATTACATTCACTGAACAAATAATAATAAGATCTGTTCGCTCTAGTTTGTCATGCATAAGAGTAACAGATTTGATTTATTCACAAAAGTTTAAAATATTATTAAAATCTACAAAAGCTTCATATTTTATTTTACGGAATTCTGGTGAGGGAAAATGTTAGAGGCGAATGAATGTAAGTGAAGGCACGACATGAATGTGAATAATTTGCCTAAGTTTAAATTATTAAAGTAACAGTGCTGTGCTTCTAAGGAAGTAACATACCATCCATCTCCATGTGTGTACATGCCGAAAAACTATTGAACTATGTGGAGAGTTGTTCGCCATTCAGGGTTTTTATCAAAGTCTCACCGATTTTGTAATTGTGGATTCTTGTTTTTGCTTCAATTAACATGGTTTAAATAAAAAAATGAAGAAGCTTTCGGTTTAATTCAGCACTGATTGCGCACGGTAGAACCTGGATGAACAATTGAGATTTATTGTAATGACATTACAGTTAAGAATCAATAAAGAATAGTGACAATTATACATGATCAAGTGGTGGCACCTATGATTTGGTTCAACTACTAAATTTTAAATCCTCAAATGGCGCTCAATGTCGTTTGCATGAACAAGCAGATTTTTCAACTCTTCAACAAACCCAAACACGGATCCAGAAACAAAGCTTATGCACATTTGTCCACTCATCAAGCTCATCATAAACCAATGTATGCTTCTCTCTATCTCTTTTTGCCTTCGAAAAACCACTTTTAAACAACCAGTAACTTGCCGACATGCATGTGCATAAATCTGTCTAGTAGTGCGATGGAACCAGCAGGCTAATGGCTTGCAGCACGGTAGCTTGTAACAGGTTGTTATAAGCCACCGACAACAACAACAACAACAACAGCAGCATCAACAATGCAAAGGGCCTCGGTAATGCAATTAGGTATTCTTCTTTTTCTACATTTCTTGCAAAAAGTACATCCAGAAAGCTTCCCGGCCAGCACCTTTACCGCGAGCGAGGTCCATTATGTTGGGCATAGTCGTCGTAACCTGGCTGCTGCTTTTCTTCATTTTATGGCACTGGTTATGATCATGCGATGTGTGGCTTCTGGTCTTACGCGTTTTAACACCTTGCGTTTGAGTTTTCTTAGCTGTTCTCAGTCACTGAATAACGCACTGTTGGATAATTCAGAAAGGCACTTGGAATTTTCTTCGGATGTAGGAATCACACTGGGAGAAAATCTCAACAATAGCAAGCTGGCCGTCCAAGATTCTGTTTCCAGCATCACCAGTATGTGTTGAGAGTACACAATCGATCCCTGCAGGAGTCGTTCGATCTTATGTTTTTTTTTCCCAAAGCTATTCACTCACTCGGTACCAACATACACTCTCGGGCAAGCGCTCACTCATACACTCGCCTGCAACTTAGCTTGCGTGTTTAAATGCCTTCTTCTCGAAACCGAACCAAGCATATACATTTTCCTTCATCGAACCTTTCCTCTTCTGCGTTTCTTCTCATTCGGGAATGGAATGCGTCTCTCGGTTTTCTTCTTCTTTTCCGTTTTCTTCGTCTTCTGTAGCAAACTATTCGAGAGTTTGATCATCGCGCTCTCTCTTCAACTGCCTTTTTTTTTCTTCATCAGTTTCTTCACTCCGTTGAAATACCAAGTCAAGGTGTCGTAAAATTTGCTTCGCCGAAACACAGCGATACAGAAAAAAAAATCGATGATTAAACGGTGAGGCTAGATTTCAGGCATGCATATCCGTGTGATTATCTTCCACTTTGAGGTTCAAGTTTTAGTTACAACAAAGTAGTATTTTGATTCTTTTTTCAGACCCCACACTGACATAGAACTCATCACAGACACTCCCCGAAGTGTGGTTGACTTGGAAGGATAATTATAGGTCTGTATACATTCCAAAGCACTCATTAATCTTAATATTCCCTAAAGCCAGACTCAGACAAAGTCCGCATCTGTCAGCCTGTCAGCAGCGAAGCCCTGTAAGACCCACTAATCCTCCCTGTGGGCAGAGGTAAACGCGAAACGGTTCGCGCTGGAATACATTGTAGTATGCTGAAACCATCAAATTAGATCCATCCGGAGATCCTTTTTCTCCAGTTTCCAGCCATGTGTATGTGTGTTTGTGTAGCTATTCGTTGCTGGAAGCACAAACCTCCGCTTGCCGTTGTTTAATGACTTTTTGAAGACGTTTGAAACGCGATACGTGCACGTAGCAAAGGAATCACATTAACAAGTGTGGAAAACACACGAGGGAAGCGAAGAATTTGAGCCCTCCGGCGATGAGAGGACGTACAACAAAATAAATACAATGTACATTCGATGGATTCAGTTTACACCATCTGCTGGACCGGCTGGCTTTGCTCTAGCCAATCCGGACACTATTTTCGATCCGCTTGGATCCGGCAATCACTTTCTTATTACTGGCTTATAGAACAATCAAAAAACATTTTACACTTACATCACTTTGAATATAATCGTCACACTTAGATCTTCAGTAAATCCTTCTCTGTTTGAAGTTTTTCAAATTTAAACTTTTCAATTCAAAACTAAATTCACTCTGACACTTTATTCGGCTCGGGGACCGACCGACTTAACCGCGTTGCACGACTGCGCTTATCTCACAGTATGGAAACAGCAAATAAAAAAAAAACCGTTCCGAATAATTCAAATCTCGAACCTTTGCGGGACCGAACGCGACGCCGTACCGTTCACCTTCTGGTGGAAACACATTGTGAGAGCAAGCTCTGTTGCACGAACGATCGAAACCGTGGAGAGCGCAGCGCAGTGAGTGAGATCATGTGCGATCGCTCGCTGGTGCAAAAGAGAAACGAGAAGCGAGAGAACTGAATCGAATGGTGTCTCGAACTGAGAGCCTGACAGGCGAACCAAAGCAACCCGGAGAACTCCAACAACACAACGCTCTGGAATGCGGCTGGCCTTCAAATCGGTCTCTGTGGCTGTTACTGTTGTTGTTATTATTGTAGTTGCTGTTGCTGCTGTGTAACTTTTATATGAGTAAATTCAAACAAAACGAAGGCGCGCGCTCCACTAAAACAACGCGCTTCTTGATGCTGATCTTGGTTGGGTAGTAAGTACAGAAACACCTCACCGATCGACCGACTGACTGTACTTACTGTGATCGCAGGGTTGCTTCCACTCACTTGCTAAATACAATTGTTTTTCGGAATTATGAAATCATAGAAAACGTTCAAGTCCCCTCATCCATTACTGAATGAGTTAGGTAAAGGAGTGTGCGTTTGACTTAGTACTGTCGCATTAATGGCCCTTCGCTCAATTTAAAATTCGATTCAATTTTCACACTGCCGTACTCTAGCGGAACTATCAATCACCCCTCTTCAGAACTTTTTCTAGTTAATAAATTATCACACTAAAGATTCATGTTGATATTAGCATAGAATTGCAACCAACTTTGAAAATCGTAAACTTCACGCATGAAGTAACAACAAACACTTTGAATTTTATATAGCAAGTAAGTGGAAGCAACCCTGCTATGATGGGATTCCGCTGCGTGGCCTCCGCGTAGTTTGTGGCAGTGCGGACTACGTCGGGAGAATATCGAGGTTGTACGGTAAGGATCGCAATAGATATTGATCATTTTTATTATTTTGCCCATACCAAGTATTATCGGCTTCCGCACTAAACTGAATCTTAAAAATGTTAATAAATACCCTCAGACAGTGCGTTTACCAAGGATCAGGAAACAGACCAAAAGCTTGTTCACAGACAATATCTGGAAGAGGTCAAATCACCATATATGATCGAGGAATGTGGCCCAGAGTGGCATATGGCTCTTTGTAGCTGTTAATCCTCAAACGCAACTGCTCCAAATTACAGTTTAAAAAGTTGTCACAAATTTCTACAAGCAGTCTAACTATGTATTGGGTTCGAATTGCTTTTAACAGCTTTTCTATCCGAGCCCGAGCAAAGTCCAGCAATAAAATGACAGCAAATCGAAATAAAATTATGATGTCAACATCAAATTGAAATCATAATTTGATTTCAGTTCACGCGATCGACACAACTCATTATAAATTTTGTTGACATATTGCTGTACTTTAACTCTCTCTTGAATATGTTGCTGCAGTTTGTTTTTATTGCCTTTGTAGAACTTCTCCTCCATCGCATTTTAAGCTTATTGTTTATTGCATATTAGCTTATTGCGTGCTCCCAACTTAGTGTTCTAGATGCACTTCCACAGTTATTAGTTAAGAGCTTTCGATGCCTGTACCATTTTTGCATAATTATAATTGTGTGGCAAGTACAATCATACTATATACCTTGGGAAGTCGAGAAATTTTTCAAACCGAAAAATTCGTAGAACAGACCGTGAATCAAACCCAGCCACCTCCAGAATGAATACTTTTTTGTTATCAACATGAAAAATGCACATCAAATCGAGTTTTCAGTTTGCTTTCACTGACAGCAGAATAAGTTTTCCATTTCTAGACTAACATTTGAAAAGGGCGTAATTCCAAAATGACCATATCGAGAAAATCGCTTCTGAATTTTGATGACCTAAAAATTACTCCTATTTCACGATTTTCCATTTTCTGGATGATTTTATAAGCTTGACTTATAGTTAATAGTGTAATCTATCATCATGCATCACTAAAAACTCAAAAAAAGTTTTCTTTGACGTGAAATCGAGAAGAAAACATCATACGCCCTGATAATTTCATACATGTTGTTACCCCCCGGATCATCCACCCTTTGAACTGCCAACACTGGTGATACGCCGTGGAAGTACACCCTCGGGATATTTTGTTTGTTGTTCCGCCTTGGTTCTTCGTTCGCAAATTTTGTGAGAGTGGAATTACGCCCGGAGATTTTTTGGACTTCTTTTTGTTCGTTGTTTACACGTGAACTATCAATCGGATGCATTTCAAATGAATCGGGCGTGACTAGATACTACAGACTCAATACGTTTGGCATTTTAAAACGATATAATTCGTAGTTCTGGTGCAAGGCGTAACAACCAGATGCATCATAGAGTTGAAAGTTGGAAATACGCCATGTAAGAAGAAACGTTTTTGATGATTTGAAGTGATATTTTCTTCTACATTTTCGTGTTTATCGAGTAGTTTGTGAACTATTCTCTCTATATGTGGCAAAATATGGTTTGTTTACATTTTGGCTTTTACGCCCCTTTCAAATGTTAGTCTAGATTTTATGTAACAGGAAGATTTTATGCTCTCAATTTTGATATTTTATCCGTTAAAACGAACAAAACGGCGGCAACCTCAGTAATCATCACATTACAATATCAAATTTGGTTTTTTATTTGATATCAGACTTTGCTCGGCAGGCTTCCTCAGATCGGACTTTTTCACTTCTACTGCCGTTAAATGAAAGTGCATACTAAGTATTTTTGTTGTTTAAATAAATATAGGATAAGCAACAGAATACACTCAAAAAATTTCACACGTTTGATCGAAGTGTTTAAACACTTGATTTTTTAAATGCACAATCACATTTCCTTTAAGTGTATTTCACCTTGGTGCAATGTGTTATACACGTTAATTTATAGTGTTTCAAACTTTGAAATGTTGAAAATCTTTCACTATCTATTCAAGTGTATTGCACATTAAATCACACTACTGTTCAAAACAGATGGATTTAAATTGTTTTGCATTTCAATGCGATGTGAATTGCTTGCTCAGAAAGGTAAACATCGAAAACAAGAGTCGTGACTTTATCCTATCAACCCGCCTCATATATGAGAACAACCGTGGCACAATGGGGTCGAACGAAGACACCGGCAGCAGCACACCACAACAGTCCATGATCGAATCCCAAATCAGACCCATTAAAAATGTATCTGAAAGCTCTGGCCTCTGGCAGTTTTGTTTATATATTTGTCGATTAATTTTAAGAGTCGACAAAGTAGAAGTCGATAAAGTAGAATATTGAACTATGATGTGCAAAGCTATTGATATCCCCATATGAGGCACATAGAATCCAAGTGTGTCACAATTAAAATCCACAGTGTTCAAGCATGATTCATAGCATAAGATTCACAAGTGAAATGGATGTGTTTCACAATAAGCGCAAAATTAAGTGCGAGACACATGATGATGACGTGTAGAATTTTTTGAGTGTAGTTTATCTCATGCTTGGATGAACTTTTTAGTCTTTTTAGGGGACAACACAGCCCATAATGTTTGCCGTTCATAATTCATGAGTTTGACATACAAAAATGCTAATTTACATATTCTCGGCAACCTAAGCAGCGAGCAACTATCTAAAGCCTTTTTCTCTAAGGAACGCACACATATGCAGTATTGGTTTGTTTACAATCTTTTGCTGCCAGCTGCTCTAACAATTTCAGTTGAAAGAATTGTCAAAAACTGTTTTAAATGCTTTTACACAGCCCCAACCTTCTCTAGTGAGAGCGACTATTGTGGTCAACATCTTTTTATTCGGAAACCTTTCTATTTGAGTTGCGTGTTGGGCTTTGATCGGCAACTCGAAATCAGCAGCATTTTGTAGTTCGTATGTTCCATTAAAAAAACCCCTGCTAGATTGCTTTATCTCAGTGGTAAAAATATAATAATATTGAAGCTGAAAGCCTAAAGAATCGTTTGAATGCATTCAGCGAAGTGTTTTAGTAAGAAAATACAGTGAAATTATAGTTTCAATTTGGGTTGCCGAAAATAGTCTGTCATGCCGAAGCCGTCATTTCCCCTACTTCAACTAACATCTCTGCAAGTAAAATCCTTGAATTGGAAATGAGAATGTAATGCACAGTGATCCAGAATTGGAATTT